AGTTGAAGTGGACCTGTTTGCAACAAAGCCGTGTTGCTGGGGACAAAGTACATTCTGTTCACCCAGGAAGCGCCTTAATTGCGATGAAATTAGTTTTTTAAGCGTAGTGTTAATACTACTCAGGACAGATATTGGTCTGTAGCTGTCCGGAAGATTCTGATCACCAGATTTGTACACTGGTATTACTTTGGCGGTCTTAAGTATACTAGGATATGTTTTAGAGGAAAATGCATGATTAAATATATGGCATAAGGGACCACACAAAACATCAATATTCTCCTTTAAAATCCTTGATGATATGGCGTCATGACCAGCTGCCTTGTTCCCTGGTAACTTATTAATTATTTGTCGGATGTCATCCTCAGTTACATCACATAGATCGAAATTATTGGTAACAGTACAGGGTGCATTTAAATTCGGCATATGAGCAGGGAAATTCCTCGCAAGGCTGAGACCAATATTAGTAAAGTAATCGTTAAACTTGTCAGCTACTTCACGAGTTGGATTATCAGGTATAATGCGTTCTTTGCTACCCATGCCAGTGACGTCTTTGACAATCTGCCATATCTTCTTCGTGTTACCATCATTTTCTTTCTCTAGGTTCGTATAGTAGCACTTCTTGGATTTTCTTATCATTGCTACTGACTTATTTCTGTAAAGCTTAAAATTTTGATGGTAGTATTCATTGCCCCTGTTATTTTTCCATTTGTCGTAGTAAAAATCTTTCAGCTACAAAACCTCAAGTATATTTCTAATCATCCATGGACATATGGCATGGTCATAATTTCGGCGCGAACAGCTACGCGTTGATCGTTCAATGACATCCACAATGCATTTTACAATGTTATCACACTCGACGTCCACGTCTTCATCATAGAGGACATCAAAATTCGTACCTTGTAGTAGTTTTTTCACGGAATTATAGTCGACACGTGTTGTACGCTTAATGGCAGGTACGTCATGAGCACAAATGTGTTTCTGGGGTAAAAATAGAAAGGTGGGATTGTGATCCGCAATAGCAACAGCGTATACGCCTGCCGATACATCCAGGTCAGCGTTACACAATACGTGATCAATAATCGACTCCGAGTGGTCTGTTATGCAAGTGGGTGATGAAATAACATTTCTCAGATTAACTGATTGTAGCGAAAACACGTAATCATCACATGTATCTCCAGACACGTCTATGTTAATATCACCGCAGACAATAACAGGTGCTTTAGAGGCCACAATGGGTATCATGCCATCGAGGAAGGTAGCTCTGGCCAACTTCATTCAGTGGATGGCACCTGCAGGTGCCATCCACTGAATGAAGTTGGCCAGAGCTACCTTCCTCGCAAGCACAAGCGACGTCGTTATAAACTGTATATGCAAGGTGTGTCAATAAATGTGCCAAATAATATTTGAAATGTGCAAAAATGAGGCATCTGTGTGCCACTACTTGCAGTGTTCCCTTAACTACAAAATAAGGCATCTTTAGATACGCACAAACAATAATACTGCTGTAATCATGGAAATAAAACAATTATTTTTTTTAACCAGCGGAACCAGCCGACTGACTCCAATGGGCGAATTCAAGCCCTTCCTGCGAATAGTCCATAGCCATTTTGAAATTTTTTGAAAGGTGGCCTCTGGTAATCACCACGCCGCGATGAAATATGGTCAATTTAGCAGACGAAAGCGAAACCGACGCACCAAACAGCTCATTCACTTTGAAAATGCCCTCGGTGACGACACAGCAGCGGCGAGCGCCGTGCTCTGTTCTGCCAGCCAAACAGTGACACCACCAGAGGTTCACCACAAAGTGGCGAATCTTATAACGTGCGCATCCTATAGGTGAAAATGGCAACCATGGATGAGGAAAAAGAGTAGTGTGACCCAGCTGCACAATCGTTTGGGTTTATCGACGCCACGATTTCGCTGTATGCTGTCTTGTCGCGCTACTTTCTACAGCTTTTACTTAAAGTGAGCAGATTGAACATGCTACTTTGAGTTTCTGTATGTATTTCATTTTTACGCACTTTGTAATTGTCTTGCCTTTTTCATTTGAGCTAATGATTCAGTCTTATTCATAATTTCCATGAACACCTAATCTTTTAACTTTCTTGTGGTCTTGCCACCAAATTATGCATTGCGTTTTTCTTTCTTCTTCAGGGCGATATATACGCGTAATCTGATACTCATATTCGCACTCCAATTAGTGCTCAGAATTGAAATATGTGAATTAACTATCACCCCCTTATCCATCGCTGCTTGCGAAAAGGAAGAAAGGTAAGATTATTCTAAAATTCCATGAAATGTTATCACAACCCCTCCCTCCCTGTTTTTTTTTAATCACACTGCCGCACGATCCTTGGTGAATCCCCCACTTCCTTCTATTGCTCACACCCACAGTGGGTATTAGCCATAGAAGAAGGTGAACAAGAACAAGAACCTCCATCGCGAGGTGTTTCTTACTGCGTACGATTCTGTAAGTTAGACTGCGTTTTCTATTTTCCGCTAGTTGCTAAACGAACGAGTGTATACGAAGTGTGATAGCAACTCGAATCACTATATTGTAGGGGGTTCCACGTCCCAAAACCACCGTATAGTTATGAGAGAGGCCTTGACGTGGAGAGCTCCAGAAATTTTGACGGTCTGGCGTTCCCTAACTTGCACTGATAGCACACGTTATACGGGCCTCTACCATTTCCCCTCCATCGAAATGCGACCGCCGCGGCCGAGATCGAACGCGCGACCTTTTGGTCAGCAGCCGAGCACCGTATCGCGACTGTTCCACCGAGGCAGACCGCAACTCCTCGCTATCGCTGTCTTTTATCCTCCGCTGCGCTTCCGCCCTTTTTCGCCCTCGTTCGCTTTGCCAGTTACGACGACACCGGTGACACAACGCAGGAACGAGCGCTTCAATTCCTGGCCACACGTACGTGTCGCAGCGTGCCAGCGCGCGGCTTCTTGACGCGTCGCCGCACCTTCCCTCTAGGACCGAGAGAGGAGGAGGCGAAGCCTCGCGTAATCACGCGCCCCTTCTCTACATGGGAAGATGACATGGCACCCCGTCAAAAAGCAACGCGCTGATACGCTGCGACGCCTACGTGTGGTCAGGACTTAGAGCTGCGCTCCAAAACAATATTGTGAACAAACTTCTGTCACGAAATCTAGATGACATGTCTAAGAATACGCCAAAGCACTGTACACACAGTGCGCCTTTCACCAACGCACGTCTTCTCCCAAGCATCGCAGGTCAATTACTTTCTCGCGCCCGTGCGCGAGGGCATTCGATTCGTTGTCACAAGAAGCGCGAGCAGGTATGAAGCATTGCAGACGCTAGCCCAGCGGCTCGCCAGCCCTCATGGTGAGAACTCTTCGGGGCAGTCTCTCGCTATCTTTCGTCCTCGTTCGCTTTGCCGCTTTTGACGAAGCCGACGCTGCTCAACGCAAGAACGGTCGTTTAAAAGCTGCGCTTTAAATTAGCGTGACGCTACTTGGAAAAGTTCTAGTGTAGCCTAGAAGAAAGCACCGCAAAACGCGAAATTTTACTGCGCTATCTCAGTCAAGGCGATGTAGTTATGCAACGAAAAAGCGGGCTTGCACATGCTTCTTTATCACAGTATGGAACATGTAGCTTTCGTATATGTTTCTGTTTTGAATTGACGTATATTTAGTTCTGTAATTGATGACAATAGGTCTCACTGAAGCCTCTCAAGTGTGGGGCCTGTTTCTGTATAGCCGTGTAATACCTTGAGAAACAATAAACTTGAACTTGATTGACTCGTACACCAAAAGGTGTTAGTGGGCTAAAATAACTCAAGCACTTTATCATTCTTAAAGAGATCAAAGCGCCCCATTAGCTACCATAAAAAAAGTTGTTGCCGCAGTTTACAACCTTTCACAGAAATGTAGGGATGCTTTCGCTATTGTCTCTACTCTCAGTGGCGAGCGGTATTTTTTCTAGGATTTCGAAGGTGTTTGCATTTCTAGCTGAACGAGTCTTCGAAAATTGATTATGACGGGTACTGTCTGGAGGTTTAGATATCCCTAAAGAGGTTAACACATGCTGCACTGAGGACTCGCAAAGCCTTGCCAGCAGTCCTCACCCCTATACTTCGAAAACTTGTCTTTTTTTCGGGGGGGGGGGGGGGGCAGCCAGGTGGAGATCAAACGACTTCTTCATGTTTATGCTAATGCGTGGTTACTTAAAAATTAGGATATATATCCATCGAGAAAATATCGAGACGAGTATTGATAACTGGATATACAATAGAATTTGCCTGTACCATGAGGGCTCTTGTGGAGAGCAGTAACTCATGGAGATACGTTGAGCAGTATATATCCGGATAAATTCAGCGTTTGTTAATGAATGGATGGATGGATGGAAAAACTTTATTAATTGTCCGGCAGATTAATGGCCCAGGCTCCGGTCTCCCACGTCGGAACGTCAAGACCTTGTCTTTCCGCCGCTTCACGAGCCTGCTGGACTGCCCAGAGTTAGTTGGCGAGCTTTGCAGAGCGGCTTCCCCATCTCGCCGATAGAACACCGGGACTAATACGTTTCGCTTGTGCCTCGCATTCCCAGAGCATGTGTGTTAGCGTAGGTGTGTCTGGCAGACCTTACAGATGATGGTGCTATAGATGTCAGTGTAAATTCGGTTATATAGCAGTGGATTAGCAGAATGGTTCGTTTGCAGCTGTCACCAGGTAACAGCTTGACTCTGCATGTTTGTTAATCTCCCCGAAAAAATAATTTATCTATCGTGTAGGGCATGACCGAAAACGTTTTTTTTTCTTCGCTGAACGCTGACTTTTATTGCGCCGCTACTAAAATGGCTGTAATGGTCGCGATTTTAAGGAGACATAGCGTCAGGCCGGAAACATAATTCTGTTTTCAGCATTACTCTTTTCTAACAGGATCTTACGTGCACCGAAGTTGCCCTGAGTGTATACCGTTGCATGCAGCCTCCGAAAACGGGTCAGATTTTGCTGACTGTGCACCCGGGTGTGCGATGCACGAGGAGGAGGATGATGTCTCTACGATTGACTGTAATGTTGACACTACTGAACAGGAGGTAAGTGCACCATACCTTTTTAATGGGGACTGATGTGTACAAAAGGCAGGGACACGAGAATGAACACAGATAAACAAACGAAGCGCATACTAACAACAGTTTGCTGCCAAGAAACTTGACCTTATTTATACCGACGTCTAACACTTACAGGACGGGGATAAAATAAAATTCGCGGTAATTTCTTTTGTTAATATATTCTCGCACAACGTCAAAAGAAGATATTTCAAGACCTGATGAGGAAGTTTCGTTCTCTGTACAAGCCAAAGTTGCTTTAGTGCGCAAAATTATCGACCCCTAACTGCACAAATAAGAGACGGAAATCCTGTAAAAAGAATCATCAGGCCAGATGTGCAAACTGCCCCCCCCCCGTTGAGGGGGTTGTTTATCGCATTCCGCTGCCGTGTCACCATGTGTATATCGGCCAAACATGTCGCTGTATTAATGACTGCCTCCGCGAGCGTGTGGACAAAGTCAGAAACAAAACAGGGGTGTGGCTGGTTTTTCGCTGAGAAAAATGTGGTTGCGAACCTGAACTTCAAAGTTGCACTGTAATTGTAAAGAACAAAAGTGCAACAGCATGCCTAATGACTGTATCTCGTGCCTCAAAGACAGCTGCTTCAGCATGTCATCTGTCTCTTTATCAGGCAAAGGAATTACATATCTGACTAGTATAACACGTGTGTGTTAACATATGTATCTGCTTTGCTTCATAATACGTGATGAGTGTTAGACGTTGCCATAAATAATGTCACATATCTCCCCAACCAACTGTTAGCTTGCGCTTTGTCTATATTTGTTCCCTCTTGTGTCCCTGCCTTCAGTGCGCATTGACCCCAATCAAGATTAATCACCAAGAATCCTAAGTTGAAATACTCCTGGCCTACGTTCAGTGTGGATTCCCAAAGGCCAGTGTCACCATTGATGCGAGTGTATTTGCAACTGTTTGAACAGCAGTACTGATATTTATTAGATTTCAAGCTTTCTTTAGTCGCCAATGCTCCTTAGCGATACCAACAAAATGAGCATGATCTAGCCGACAAAACAGTATACTGTAGTAAATGATTCATTGGTGTAAATGTGACGAAAGAGGAACTCATCCAATTGCAGGTTAAGCGTCCACTGGCAACTCTATTGGCTCGTGCGCATGGCGTGGTTATACAGTATACAGTTATATACAGTTGACGCAGCCGGTGGCACGTCACCCTAAAACAAAGAGCGCGCATCAGCGGAGTAGGCGAACTAAACTAGAAATAAGCTGGAAATTATATACAGTTCCAGATAACCAGCAGAAACATTTATTACACCGAGACCATCATATTTCCGGACACCGCCTGGTCATGAACTACACAGGCACGCATCACAGAAGACCCGCTACTGTGCATCCATGGCAGTCCTTTTGAAATAGGAAGTGGACGAAGCTGCCCATTACGGTTACTGCGCGACGTTTGGTCGCGTAAACACATTTAGGGGCATGGTCGGCAAGCTTGGATTGCTCACACCTTGATCGGCGGCGGTGGTAACTAGTGTGTACGCCAGAGTTGCCAGTGTACTCATCTCCGGTCACCCCTCTGGTGATCGCAACAATGCTCACTACATGGTAGGCCACTATACCCAAGGCGTCGGTTTTCCGGCTCGCTGGATTCCGTGCTGACCGGTTGTGCCCTCGCGATCTCCGACGTCAGCGTAGCTCTGGCCGACTGGGCTCGCTCTACGTCAACTCCTGACGCCGATCTCTGACGACAGCGTAGCTCTGACTTACTGGACTTGCTCTACACCATCTCCTGACGCCGACAAGAGCTCTCGCAAGTGGTGCCCCGTCCTCGGACTGTGACCGTGTTTCTATCTTTCCTATCTCTTCTGTCCCCTCGATATGTCCTCGCTCGCTGGCTTTGCGCATCTCTTTTTTTTCTCTCTCTCTCTACACCTTATTCCTATCTTTTAATCCCTCCTCACTTCATCCCTTGTGAGCTACTGTAGGTGTCGCACCCTGATGCAGACATCTAGTTACGGGGCTCGCTTTTCTCTTCTTTTCCTTCTCTTAGAACCACTTCATGCGTAGGTTTTCGATGGCCCACGCGCCCACCTCCTCGCGCCTATGTCCACTTCGTTCTCGTCGCTTTGTAGTCATGGCAACGCTTAATTCCGTGCCGACCAGTTGTGCTCCCGCGATCTCCGACGACAGCGCAGCTCTGGCCGACCGGCTCGCCCTCCGCCATCTCCTGACGCCGTGAAGCTCTCGCCGAGTGGGGCCCCGTCCTCGGACTCCTTCGACCGTGTCAATCTTTCTCTATCTTCTCTTTACTTCTGTATTTGGGTGTCATCTCTATCCCTATCCCTTTTAATTTCTACTTACCCCCATCTCTCGTGAGCCACTGTTGATGTGTCGCATTATGATGCAGACAGTTAAGGCGCTCACTTTTATCTTCTTTTTTCCTTTTTAAGAATCACTTACATTCACACAGTCATGGCAACATGTACCAAGAGGCAATGCGCCGTGCTTCCTACCAGGCTGCAGAAATTAGGTGCCTTCTTTCTCTTCTAACCACTACCGCCACCAACACATGCCAAGCTCCTACATTATGAATGTTACGCATGGGTACCGATATCCTCCTAACCCCCTTCAGCAGCCCGCTCTCAAACCTGCTGAAGAACGCCTGATAGCTCCACGTCTGCCATTTATGAGCGTTAGGCTTTTCACTCAGTTCAGCGACCAGTGTTGCGTAAATGGGCAGGTGGTTTACGTGCCGATCGACGTGGCCAACAATGTGCAGTGCCGGCCGCGGAACATGCCCAACAACGCTGCCTTCGACGTACACGTTATGCATCGGCTCGTTAACAAGCTTTCCAGAGAAATGGTCTCACCAAGAAATGCCTCGTGCTCCTTCGAGCCAGCTCCTTTAGCATCAATCACGTTGTGGATATTGGGGTGATTTTTATTGCGATAGTGATTCACTCAACACTCTCGGCTGGTTTTTACCGTCGTCGTCACCGCCGCCACCACCGGAGCCACCATCATCCACGTGTATGCACATGTATGTATATACTGTGGGCATTTGTTACTTACATCGTCCTCATCCCTGCATGATCACAATCACCATCATCCGCTTGTCTCTTAGTCCTCATTGCCACTCTGGGTCATCATCATCGTCATTGTCTGTGTACTGGCTCTGTCCGTTCGTTTTGCGAGGTCTTTCCTTAAATAAACGCTGACGCAGCCAAGACTACAAAGACTTCATACGTGTTGGAGGTGCTGGGTACTGGCAGATCCCCATGCATGAAGACGATGAGTAGAAAACGGCGTTCGCAACCCCTGACGGGCTATATGAATTCAACGTGATGCCTTTCGGGCTCTGCAACGCACCCGCGACTTTTGAGCGCATGATAGATACCGTGCTGCGCGGCCTGAAATGGAAAAGTTGCCTTTGCTACCTGGACGACATTATTATCTTTTCATCAACGTTTCCTGAGCACCTAGAACGATTGGATCAAGTTCTGACGTGCCTTGCCGGCGCCGGGCTTCAAATAAACACTAATAAATGCTCTTTCACTAACAAATCTATCAAGGTCTTAGGACACGTCGTTAGCAAAGATGGCATCCGGCCCGACCTTGACAAGATTTCTGCGGTCCTTCACTTTCCGCGTCCCGGAAAACCAAAGGAGCTTCGCAGTTTTCTTGGCCTCGCCTCCTATTTTCGCCGGTTTATCCAGAACTTCGCTTCTATTGCTGCTTCATTACACCAACTACTTGCTTCCAACGTCCCCTTTCTGTGGTCTCAAGAATGTCAAACGGCATTCTGCCTGTTGAAGCGGGCACTGACGTCTTAACCTCTGCTCTGCCACTTTGACGAAGCCGCACCGACTATCCTCCATACCGACGCTTGCAGCCTTGGTATAGGAGCCATTCTTCTACAACGCGACAAGTCTTCCGTCGAGAAAGTTGTTGCATATGCCAGTCGCGTACTCACCCCTGCCGAAAAGAACTACACGATAACTGAACAAGAGTGTTTGGCTGTGGTTTGGTCGGTCCAGAAGTTTCGTCCCTATCTCCACGACCGTTACTTCACAATCGTTACAGACCACCATGCCTTATGCTGGCTTTCTACACTGAAGAACTTGTCCGGACGCTTAAGTCGGTGGATACTACGCTTGCAGGAGTACGACTTTGAGATAACTTACAGTCAGGCAGAAAACATCAAGACGCCGACGCTTTATCTTGTTGCCCGCTTCCAACTACCCATATCAGCGTTGGTGAGAACTCAACCGCCACATCTACCAAAGTTCATACGCTTGCATCAATAAGGCAACCCTTTTCAGACGACGAACCAACATTTATCTCCCGCCAGTGGTCCGAGTCATACTGCAGACGCATGATGGACCACATTTCTCATCCACCAAACGCGCGACTCCGTCGTCAACTCCTGCACTTTAAGCTCGACAATGGGGTTCTCTACCGTCACGTTTGTCACCCTGACTGTCAGCGCTGGGTTCCTGTACTGCCACGCTCTCTTCGACTTCAGGTGCTCGAAGCCTTTCACGACGACTCGACTGCTAGTCATCTTGGTTTTTTAAAAAAAACTCTTGACCGCATTCGATGTCGTTATTACTGGCCTGGGCCTTTCTTCTAGTGCAGCTAGAAGGATGGATAGTGACCGCCGTGGACCACCTGACACGCTACGCTGAGACTTCCTCTGTTACTACAGGCTCAGCTGTGGAAGTTGCAGACTTTATTCTTCACGCCATAATCCTGCGTCATGGGGCTCCTCGTGTACTGCTTAGTGACCGCGGCAAAGTGTTCCTGTCACAAATGGTAAATGAATTACTGCGCGCTTCTGGAACTACTCACAAGACAGCTTCAAGCTACCACCCTCAGACAAATGGTCTCACCGAAAGATTTCACCGAACCCTTGTTGACATGATAGCCGTTTACATCCAACCCGACCACAAAAACTGAGATACTCTTTTACCATTCCTGACATTCGCCTACAACACCGCCGTTCAGCAAACAACTTGCTACTCACCGTTTTACCTCGTGTATGGACGCACCCCGACTACCTTTCTCAACGTCTCCTTCTTTAACGGCCATGAAAATTCATGTCAGTATTCTATCGAAGAATACATTTCCCGCCTGGCCAAGTCTCGCCATCAGGTTCGCATCAATAATGAAGCGAGACAGCACGAGCGGAAGATCATCTATATGACGAATCCCACCGCGTTGTGTCTTTCCAACCTGGTGACGAGGTGCTGCTTTTGACACCTATTCGCACTCCTGGTCTCTGTGACAAATTCTAACCACGCTTCATCGGGCCATACATTGTTTTAGAACAGACTTCGCCGGTTAATTATCGTTTTACACCACTCGCCGCCCCAATAGACCGCTGCTACCGCAGCACAGAGATTATCCACGTTTTTCGCATGAAACCTTTCACGTGACGTTCCCCGTCACTTTGACTTACGGCAGCCAAAGTGTCCGCTTCCAAGTGGGGGGAATTAGAGTGGGCATTTGTTACTTACATCGTCCTCATCCCTGCATGATCACAATCACCATCATCTGCTTGTCTCTTTGTCCTCGTTGCCACTCTTGGTCATCATCATCGTCAGCGTCTGTGTACTGGCTCTGCCCGTTCGTTTTGCGAGGTCTTTCCTCAAATAAACGCAGACGCAGCCAAGACTACCAAGACTTCATAATAAATATACAGGGAAGTATGCGCTAGCCTCCTCTTTCTGCAGAGCGAATATCGCCTTTCCGGCCGGGATCACCTGCACGTGCGCTTATCTCGTGAGCGAACGAGGGGGGTGGAAGATTATGGTTTCCGCGCTATTGCCGCAACGAGTAGCGCGCAGGTTGTGGCCCCCACAGCATGCGGGAGCTTCTAAGGGCTGCGCTCTTACACACACACACACACACACACACACACGCACACGCACACGCACACGCACACGCACGCACACACGCACACACACACACACACACACACACACACACACACACACACACACACACAGTGCCAAGAGTGCATCTGGAGCGACCGTGTTCTCCTACCCCAGCGTTTTGAAGAGTTACGTGAGATCGGATCGAAGTGAGTTGACTGCCAGCCAGCCTTACTTCGTAACGTTGCAATTCGCTAGCCTTGCTTCGTAAAACAATCGAATATGTTTATCGCATTCATGGCGTCGCCCTTTTGACAAAACTGGGAACTTTTTTTTGTTCTTGGCGTAATTCTGTCGCCAGTAATACCAAGAATACACACACCTTGGGTTGATGGCTGCGAATATATAACTCGCCGTTCTATGGTCACTTGTTTTATGCCTGATTGTGGTTTATACGCCGTTGAAGAGTAGCAGAACTAGAAAGCTCTCTGTCCGTTTTTTTTTCAGAATTTTTCAGAATTCTTCAGAAAGAGCAAAGCCTCGGACCACATATAGAAGTCAACAGAAAAACTTGGGGAACCCTTAAGCTCCGCCTTTAACACTTGAACGCGATAGTGAAATCCGGCCCCTAGTGAACCCTTCAATCGCTAAGTGCATACTTATTAATATGTTTTGTTGCTTACACACGACCGTAGCTGTGGCATTGCACGTACGCGTCCGCTTCAGCTACGGGAGGTGCGGGGTTCGATCCCCAGTGCCGGCCGGCCACCCACCGGTAGCTAAACAGGGTACAGGCGGGCTTCGAGGGGCTGTGACGCGTCGCCCCAGTGGTGAAGCTTACTCTGCCTGGATACCCCCAACACGCTGCGCGGGGGACCCCGGTTGTTGCTTACACACGCGCGCACACAGTAGATTGGACCAGCACGCGGTATTATCGCCGAATGGGCTCGTTTTCGTCGTTACACCTGTCAAACAAAATGCCTTAAAGGGACCCTGAAACAATTTTTTCAAGTACCTATGGAAGGAATCCACTAGAAGAGCTTATTGCCTCACGAATTCAATGCTGCAAAATTTTAAGAATACCTCCAGTGAGAGTGGAGTCACAAAGGTTTGTCGCATGCTGCAATTGCATTATCTCTTCTTTCATCCCGACGAAAGCGCTGGCAGCTAAGCAAGGAGGGGCGGCAGGGCAAAGAAACTACCGCGCCTCGTGACCCTGAGCACTCTTTTTTTTTTTTCGAATGCGCGGCTTTCTCGGTGTGATCGCGCGCGCACGCGTGAACAAGTCGCGGCATCCCGCGGCTATCTCGGTAACTTGATTTTGCGGTCACAGACGCGCAGACGACTTTTCGCTCACAACCAAGAGGGCCGATGCCGGCGGCGGTTTTTCTTTGACACGAGCTCTCTAAAGCTATCGCGTTAAAAGATGTACATTTTCGTCAACATCAGAGAATACGTGGCGTGCTTACCGCTAACTGAAGACGATAACGATAGGAAAACGCTCGACCACTCTGCTTCAATTACGTGTTGAAACCAGGAATGATTATGAGGAACACCGTATTGGAGCACTCTGCAAATTTCGAGCATCGGGCATTTTTACCGTGCGCTGACGTCGCGCAATATACAGATGAGCTTTTGTCATTTCAACTACATCAACAGCTGGCCTTTTTCTGAACACGTTGCAATAGCGATTTATTCAATATAGGACAGCTCTTGCTTTTTAGTTGGAACTCACACAGTGTGAACGATCCGATTCTTGGCCAACCTCTCGCAATGTGCCACAGTGCGTACACATCTTGTCCAATGTATAAAGAAAGTGACGACGTGTCATTCATTCGATCGTTCTTTAGCTGGACCTTTAGGTACGGTTCTAAGCCTAGTTATCTAAAATAAACGTAACTGCACACTGCATGAACACTCCCACGTGGTGCCAACTACACGACTGAATCGCCCAGGAAGAGGACGATCAGCCCGAGGACTTCGAGCCACCGACGCGCAACGTTCTCCTGAGAGCACGACCACACGTGTTCGCCATGTTTGAGCTGCTGACGCTAGTGGTCGTGGTGGTGTACGTCTACTACAACCCCAAGCCCTGGCCTTGGTCCCTCCAGCTGAGCTGCGTCAGCCTGGAATGCTTCAACGTGCAAGCTGAGCTGCATTCGTCCATGGACCTGAGCGCCGAACCGTGCGACGACTTCTACCAGTACGTGTGCGGACACTGGGCCGAGGGACATTCACGGTACCAGGACCAGTTCCGGTACCTGGAGGTGAGCATGATGCCATTGTTCGTTGGCCACGCATTGATAATGTAGCATGGTTTTTATGCATGGGTTTGCCCTAAGACGACTAGAAAGGAAAGTCATTTTTATCGCGATAGATATTACATGTGTAGTGGAGCATACGCACTAACGTGTATGCGCCTTCCAAAGAGAAGGAAAAACCCCGTGCTCTGATTGCACGAGAACCTGGGCCGCCTTTTGCCAGACTTGTCGTACGGCCATTTTTCGTTGCGACATCGTTGCGACTTCTCCGGTTCAACAAACGTCATCACATTTGGTGGAGGCTGCTGAGATCCCCAAGCAGACCTGGAGCTCCGCTCTCGCAAGTTGCCCGAGAGACCACTGCAAAACATGACTGACGCAGTCGCCAACCAGCCCATCCCAGCCCAGCCAGCACCACCGGCTGTCCCGTCTACCTTCCCCGGCACTACTCGCCAACGCAACCCACCAATCTTCCGCGGCAGTGGTGAGCAAGACGTCGAAGACTGGCTCTCCTTGTACGAACGCGTAAGCACCAGCAACAAGTGGGACAACGACTCTAAGCTCGCCTACGTTATCTTTTACTTGGCAGACGTAGCTAAACTTTGGTTTACGAACCGCGAAACCGCCATCGCCAACTGGTCCTCCTTTAAGACACTTGTCACTGAAGCGTTCGGCCGACCAGAGGTCCGCAAGCTCCGCGCTGACCAGCGCCTGCGCCACCGAGCCCAGCAGCCTGGCGAGACGTTTACTAGTTACATAGAGAATGTTCTCGACCTCTGCAGGCGTGTGAATCCATCTATGCCCGAAGAAGAGAAAATTCGGCAGATTCTCAAGGGCATCGAGGATGGCGCATTCCAGATGTTGCTAGCGAAAAGCCCGAACACGGTGGCAATCCTCATAAGCCTCTGCCAGAGCTTTGATGAATTGCGCCGTCAGCGTTCCATCGCCCGACAGAGTGTCCCACCGCCGGATTCGATCTCGGCCGTCGCACTCACAAATGCCAAGGTTTGCCAAGAAAGTCTGTCCAACCAGATCAAAGACTTTGTAGTGCCATCATCATCCTCATCATCATTTTTTCCATCACCGCGCCGCGTCTCTCGCGCAGCTGGCGCGAGCTCGAGCTGCGCGAGAATTAGAACGACCTGACACGCCTGGCGTGGCGGACGCTGGTAGCCGACGTGGCTCCGCTTCAGGCCAGAAATAAAGTGGCGAGATCGGCACGGCCCCATCGGCCGCCTTCGACGTCATCTCACGTCTCTCCTCTTCTCTTGCCGCTACATTGGTGACCCGGAGAACACGCCCTTCGCCGAGCGGCCCGCGGCCATGTTCCCCCAACTCTGCCCACCAGTGCCGCCGTACCAATCAACTTACCCCAAGGTATGGTTTATGCAGCTCGACGCCATTCTTGCGGTGAATGGCATCACGGACCAGCTGCTAATGCATGCCATTCTTCTCGACGCCCTACCGGTCGAGTTGCGCCATCTCGCTGCCACTTCAAGCACCAGCCCGCAGCCTTACGATTCCCTCTGCACTGCGGTGCTCGCCCGCAGCGGCAACACATACCGTCCGCTTCCGTTTACCCGCACCAGGCAGGTTTCCCCGGCGTCACAGAGCAAGGTACGAACCGGTCCGCAGCCCTCCATTGACCGCTACCTCGGTACCCCAGCTTCGACTACTTCTACACCTGATCCGGTCGCAGAAACATCCACTCCTGCACCTGATCACGACCGCGAGGTAGAAGACTCCCCCACTGCGACTGACCTTCCCTCCGAGAGGTACATTCCCTCAGAGCCCCCGTGCAGAGCTTCATCACACGCACCTGCTACCTGCACGTTTTCCAGGAAAGCGACGGCACGCGACACCGTGGCCCTCGCCGTTTCCGCGACCACCAGCTCAGACGTCTCGGCCTCCTCCTCGCCGCAGCTGCTGGTCAGCTCCTCGACGGTGCCCTCTGCCGCTCCGCCACCTGCCACTGGTGCCAGCAATGGCCTGCCGGGTGCCTCGCCACATTCCACTCGCACCTCCCCGGCCAGCAGCCGACCACCCTCGGCGTCCCCGCTCCCCGCCCCTGTGCCTGTCTCTGTTTCGTGGTCTATGACGGGCCCCAGCGCCGTGTCTTCGCGGAGCCAGAGCCTGCCCTCATCGTCGGCGTCGACACCGGCAACCACCAAAGCAACTGCCACCGTCGCCTCTCTGCCCGTGGCGCCGCAGCAGGCACCTGCGTCGAGACCCGGCGTCACACAGGTGGTTTCGGCCAGCCCCAGTCCTCGCACCTCTGGTGCCCCCCGGCTCATCCAGCCGAAACAGCCACAGATCCTGCCCAAGCTGTCGAGCGGCAGCGCGAACATGACGACGCCTTCGGCAGCGGCGACCACCCGGTCCCAGTCTCCTCGGGCGGCCCAGCACAAGGCCACACCGCGGCCCGCGCCTGTACCGGCGCCGCAGCCTGCGACCACGGTGCAGCGCGGAGCCGCGATGGGGCTCAACACGGGGAGTCCGCTGCTCATCGGGAACCCCGCGGCAGCGCAGCCGGGCATGCTTCCAGCTGGACCTGCGCACGGCACTTTCCTGCTGAACCAGTACATTCCGGGCCTGGGCCACAGCCCGATTCTGATACAAGGCACACTGGGGCAGACCCAGAGCTCTCTGGGACAGATACAGGGGGTCCAGCTGGCCCTGCGGCCACCCCATGCCACGGGCCTGACCCTGGGACCTCAGACGGGGCCCAGGCCCCATGGGGAACATCCAGGACCGCCTGGCACCCCAACGCTTGTCATTCCACAGAACCTGGGGCCAAGGCCCAACATCTTTTTGGCACTGCCACGCATGATGTCGCCCCCCTCGTTTGCCATAGTCCCGGGACAGCCACTGACGCTGCAACAGCTGCAGGCCATGCTGCCCACGCAGACCATGCTGGCCCAGCCCACACTGGGTGCGTTCCAGACAGACCAGCACCAATCCTTGGTGCAGATACCGACGTTCACCCAGCCGCAGATACTGGCGCATGCCCACCATCACCACCACCACCACCACCATCATAGGGCCCTGTCGGGACCTCTAATCTCGACAGGTGGCAGTATAGTGGATGGATGGATGGATGCTATGAGCGTCCCCTTTATAACGGGGTGGTGACAGGTATGCCACCAGGCTCGACAAAAAAAAAACATTTTTTCTTTTTTTTATGTTGGCCTAATGCCTCTACTTCGATAAATTCTATCTTAATGGAAAAAAAGGTAAATTTTCAGCTTAAGTTCTCTGCCATTTACGGCACACTGTCCATATTTTATTTTTCCAATATTTATTTTTGTCCTTTCTCTCTAATTTTCTGCCACCAATACTCTAACCGTCTCTTACTTATTTCAATCGCGGGTGTGTTCAGCTTTCCATTGTTGTCCCTAAAACCCAAGGCTTCCTGTAGGCTCGTGCCCAAACGTACACCTGGGTGGATATCTCCACATTCAATCAGAACATGCTCCGCCGTTTCCTTATCTTTCCCGCAGCATGTGCATTGTTCTTCTTCTTTACTGAATCTTGCTTTATAACTACGCGTTCTAAGGCAACCCGATCTCGCTTCAAACAGTAAAGCGCTTCCCCTTGAATTATCGTAAAATGCCTCCCTCCTTATTTCATTTTGCCCTTTCGGTAGTTACTCAAAGCCGGTTTTTTCTCCATAGCTGCCATCCAGTAAATCCTCTCCGCCTCCCTGACTTTTCCCTTAACGCTCTTTGTTGACATATGGCTTACAATACCAGCCGTATACTTACTAGTGAGTCTTCTAGTTCTTTTTCTCCACTGTGTGTCCACGCTCTTCCTATACAAATAACGGAACACCTTCTCTGCCCATCTACTCTCCTTCATATTTCTTAGCCTTTCTTCGAACCTTATTTTGCTCTGCGCTTCCCTCGCCTCAAAACCTGCCCACCCCATATCGCCCTTTACAGCCTCGTTTGTCGTCTTCCCGTGAGCACCCAACGCGAGGCGTCCCACAGTCCTTTGATTTACATCCATTCCCGCTTGCACCTCTGCCCTCATGCACACCACTGAGTTCCCAAAAGTAAGCCCTGGAACCATTACACCCTTCCACAGACCTCGAAGCACCTCATACCTATTGTATCCCCACAACGCTCTGTGCTTCATTATTGCCGCACTCCTCTTTCCTTTTGCTGCCGAGGCTTTTTCCTGTACCTCCATGTATCTATCACTCTCATTTACCCATACTCCAAGGTACTTGTATTCACTTACCCTCGGTATTTCTTGGCCTTGTATAGTGGCCTCTGCACCCAGCGCCAACATTGTCACCCACCATCCTGTCATGACCTCGCGACACACGGTCCACTCTCGGCCTGTCCGACCAGGTCACCGTGAGACCCGCTTGTCGGCTACCACAGCGACCCGGCACTTCCTCCTGCGTCCTCTGCGCAACTCCCAGAGTCGCCCACCAGAGACCCGCTGCTTACCGATGGTCACTACACGTTGACAAACTGGACTTGCCAAAGGAACTTTTTATGGACTGCCGTTCATGTACATAGCATTTGTCGCCCTCTTTCTTTTTTTCATATGCGTTCAAATCGCGCAAAGCGCTAGGGGGGGGAGCCCTGTAGTGCCATCATCATCATCATCATCATCATTTTTTTCATCACCGCGCCGCGTCTCTCGCGCAGCTGGCGCGAGCTCGAGCTGCGCGAGAATTAGAACGAGCTGACACGCCTGGCGTGGCGGACGCTGGTAGCCGACGTGGCTCCGCTTCAGGCCAGGAATAAAGTGGCGAGATCGGCACGGCCCCATCGGCCGCCTTCGACGTCATCTCACGTCTCTCCTCTTCTCTCCCCGCTACAACTTCATCAGGGAGGAAGTCGCCCGACAGCTCTCCCTGCTGCCGCATAGCGACGCGCCCACCGCAAGCCTGCCTACGACACTGCAGCAGGCCATACGCACGGAAATTTGTGATGTCCTCCCTACAGTGCAGGCCCCTTACCCATGCACTTCAGTAGCACCTAATCTCTCAG